GAGATTTGTCTTTTTTTTTCTTTTTTTTTTTCACATAAACGCCCCAACATGTCCTCATCAGGTCGTATCTCAATGTATTCCATTCCATGTCTTCTATTTCCAGCCAGTTTTCGGGACAATCCTGGGTTACCCTTTTTTATCTTTGCCATAACCTTGAATAAACCACGATACAGCGAAAAGGGGCACAACTGTGCCAAGGGGCATAATAAATCACGATTTTCCCTCCTCTGTGTTAGCGTCTGATGATGTGCCTCGACAGTTGAACAATGACTGATTGCCCTGCTGGTTTTGTTTGGCATAACAGCCGTTCCTGTCAGTAATTTGTTATTAATATTATTTATGGTGTTTAAAGAAAACCTAAGCTGTGTTTACATCCGCTTTCAAGGCCGGATTACTGCCAAGGCCGGATTACTGCCAAGGCCGGATTACTGCCAAGGCCGGATTACTGCCAAGGCCGGATTACTGCCAAGGCCGGATTACTGCCAAGAAGAAGAAAGAGAGGTTGCCCTGTAAACAGTGTGCCCGAAGCCTTTCAGCAAAGATCAAACTTGTTGGTGTGGATACTAGATGTATTTTTCTTAGTGTTTTGAGATGTGTTTTCGTCATGGTTACACAGTGTCTACGAAGAGCAAATGCTGGTGGTTGGTGGGCGCTACGGTGTGGTTTGCTCCTTCTTCCCTACCTAGCATCTGTCGTCCTCCCTCCCTCCTTCCTTTGTTTGTTTGTAAGTTACACTCCAGTAATTTCGCTGTTTATATAACCCATTTCTATTCCAAGTGCCGTGAAACTTACAAAAAACAGTATGTCTCTCAGAAAAGATGAGACTTATTGGTGTGCAAACTGCTTCTTTTTCTTAGCATTTAAAAATAATTTGTTTCGCCATGACAGCAGGGTCTGGGAAAATTTGGTTTTTGGTAATTCCGAACCAGCTAGGTGGGTGTTTTGAAAATTTATTTATCCATAAGAAAAGAAAGCAACCAACAAATATGAAAGCGAAATCACAAGTAAGAGAGACGGTAAAAGTTTGACAACTGTATAAAAAGAGCAGTACATGACAACATTAAAATAAAATGATGAGAAAAACAACAACTGCAGCTGTTGGAGGAGAACACAAAAAAGCAGCTACCCCAATCACAAACACAAATAGACTTGTTTGCGGAACCACGCTCAGAAACACAGATAGGAATACGAGGAAAAAAGAAAATCGGTGGAAGAATGAGGGAGAAAGAAAGAAAAGAGAGCTCGGGGGCGTCGAGATCGAGATGAAAGCTAGCTTTTTTGTCTGGCACGTAGCTAGAGAAGTATTCCATTGAGTTAGGAAAGAAAAGCTAAGATAAACCTTCAATTTATGTTCTTTTTTCCTGGTTCTGTTCCAATTTCCTTAGAAATTCCTGTCTGACGGCATAGAGCACTTCCGGAAGATAGCGATGGACTTGACAGGTCAACGGGTAAGCTGTGCTCATGATGAAGTCTTTGTGTGCCACTGCTTGCTGGGAGAAAGCCATGTGGCAGTTCATTAACATCATTGATTCTTTCTAATGACTCAACCATCAATCAACTTTTTCCCTTAATACCGACTTCAGTTTACTAACGTTTACCTTCCTTTTGTATCGTTTGATGTCGAGGGTAGATGCAATTTTTCGTCAAGAGCTAGGTGCGTGGCTTCTGTTGTTGATATGTTATATTATTTTTTTAGAGGACATTTGCAACGCCCCCCCCCCCAGCCA